TTGTAGGCCCTTCCCCCCCCAAATGAACTCGATGAGGGTGGCGCTGGTTTGGGAATGCCTAGTGTAGTGGAAAAAGCATGCATGACTTCGGGAATGAGACCACCGAATGATCAAATTCCTTGCCTCCACCACCTCCCACCACCTCTCTTGAGCCTCAGTTTCCTCATTGGTAAAAATGGAAATTATGACACTTCGCAGGAATTCTTTTTTTTTTTTTTTGAGACGGCAGTCTCGCTCTGGTCGCCCAGGCTGGAGTGGCAGTGGCGCGGATCTCAGCTCACTGCAAGCTCCGCCTCCCGGGTTTACGCCATTCCCTGCCTCAGCCTCCCGAGTAGCTGGGACTACAGGCCGCCGCCACTCGCGCCCTGGCTAGTTTTTTGTATTTTTTTTAGTAGAGACGGGTTTCACCGTGTTAGCCAGGATGGTCTTTGATCTCCTGACCTCGTGATCGCCCGTCTCGGCCTCCCAAAGTGCTGGGATTATCGGCTTGAGCCACCCGAGCGCGCTGGCAGGAAGCGGCCAGGAATTCTTATAAGGATGCAAAGACAGAAGGGGAGCCCACATTTTAGTGTCCTTCCTTCTTTCCCTCTAAATGTGGAATGAAATAAAAAGGTTTTGCCTTTTACTGATGGGAATTCAAACTTTAGGGTCACAAGCTAAGAACTATTCTGAGGTCAACAAGTCCTTGCTGATAACTGAAATCTTAGCGCCTGCTTCCCCAGACAGTTAGTTTGACTTTTCTGTTCTGGGGCCCCATTCTTATTTTTTCAGGTCTCTTAAACTGTAGCTCCTAAACAACCACTAAAAAGGAAGACCACCTAATTTCTCCTTAGGGCCACAAACTCCAATACCAGGGGTTTGGTATGTGACAGCAGGCAGTGATGGGAACGGAAAGAAAATGAGAGCTATCCACACAGCTCCACTTTATTGCTTCCAGGTGGAAGACAGGGCCCAGTGTTGCCACTTCTTCTGGATTTAAAGAAAAAGGCCGGCCAGGTACGGTGGCTCATGCCTGTAATCCCAGAACTTTGGAGGCCGAGGCAGGTGGATCACTTGAGGTCAGGAGTTTGAGACCAGCCTGCCAACATGGTGAAACCCTGTCTCTACCAAAATATACAAAAATTAGCCAGGTGTGGTGGCGTGTGCCTGCAGTCCCAGCTACTTGGGAGGCTGAGGTGGGAAAATCACTTGAACCTGGGAAGCAAAGGTTGCAGTGAGCTGAGATTGCCCACTGCGCTTCAGCCTGGGTGACAAGTGAGATGTGTCTCAAAAAAAAGGGGGGGGGAAGGAATAGGCTAGGCAGTAGTTCTCAACTAGAGGTGACTTTGTCCCCAGTATGACACTTGGCAACGTCTGGAGACATTTTGCTTGTCGCTGTTGTTGGGGAGCTATGGGCATCTAGTGGGCAGAGGCCAGGGATGCTGCTATCCATGCTACAATGCACAAGACAGCGCCCCTCCCGCAACAAAGAATTATCTGGCCGAAAAGGTAAATGGGGCCAAGATTGAGAAGCCTTGAACATGGTTCTGTTGCAGCAACAACCCCCAAATCTCAGTGGCTTGCAACAACAGAGAGGTCTCACCGCCTGTCCATTGTGGGTCTGATAGGGATCTGCTTTATGTCATCCTCACTCAGGGGCCCAGGCTAAGGGAGGTGCCATTCCCAAGCTTGTAAGATTTTCGAGGCAAGTGGAGAATATTAATACATTATTAACATTAATTATAATAATAAAGATATATTAATTATAATATTGATACAACTGTAAGTTATATCTAGAAGTGACATCTATCGTTGCCATCATATTGCATTGGCTGCACCTAAATTCATGGGGTCAAGGAAGCACAATCCATCCATGTTCCTGGATGCAGAGAATTGGGAATATTTGCTAACAGCATTAAAGACTCCAAAGGTTGGGTGCACCCAAACCTCAGAAATCACCACTAAAGAACTTATTCATGTAACCAAACACCACCTGTTCCCCCAAAACTTATTGGAAAAAAATAAAAATCCAGAAAAAAATGTATGCTGACCAAAACAAAAACAAAAATAAAAAAAAATCTCCAAAGGCAATCATGACAGCCTGGGCTCTAGGTAATCCACAAGGCTCGGAGAAGGGCAGCTAAGGGCACAGGCTGTGGAGTCAGACGTCAGACTCGGCTTCAAACCCCACACTTCCTAGCCGTGTGGCCTTGAGCATGTCACTTAATCTCTTTCTCAGTTTCTTTCTCTAAAAATGAGGAAAATAGGCCAGGCGCGGTGGCTCACACCTGTAATCCCAGCACTTTGGGAGGCTGAGGCGGGTGGATTACGAGGTCAGGAGCTCGAGACCAGCCTGGCCAATATGGTGAAACCCCGTCTCTACTAAAAATACAAAAATTAGGCTGGACGCAGTGGCTCACACCTGTAATCCCAGCACTTTGGGAGGCCAAGGAAGGCGGATCACGAGGTCAGGAGTTTGAGACCAGCCTGACGATCATGGTGAAATGCTGTCTTTATTAAAAATACAAAAATTAGGCCGGGCGCGGTGGCTCAAGCCTGTAATCCAGTTTTTGTATTTTTTAGTAGAGACGGGGTTTCCACGTGTTGCCAGGTGGTCTGATCTCCTGACCTCGTGATCCGCCCGTCTCGGCCTCCCAAAGTGCTGGCTATCAAGGGATTCGAGCCACCGC